GGGATGGAAAAAAAGGAACCAAGTGTAATTTGTCACATACCTCATCATCAGGGCTAAGAACAAATGATGTAATATCCTCTTGATCATCCTATAAATGGAAGAAAGAGGCAGGGAAATCATCTGTGCAATATTTTTAAATGCCATGTTGCCCTAGTCTCTGTACACGTTTCACATGGCCTACACATGCTACATCGTTTCTTGCGCTTCATCACAGAATCTCCTGCAGAGAAAACTGCAGAATACCCATGAACAAGACAGACTAACAGGACTGGGTACATTGTACAGGGCTAAGGACTCCTGGTTCCCACAATGCTTCACTTCTTTCCCTGACTGAGCAGTTCCAACCTGGGGACACGGGAGACAGGGACAGAAACAGGGTGAAGTGTGTGAATGAGATATCTTCCTAGGGAGATGCTTCTAGCTTTCGTTTAGCTCATGCCACTGTCAAGTGCAGACTCTTCATTTCAGCGGCAATCCAAAAGGTGAATCATTTCCAGAGAGACTGTTCACAGGCAAGTTTCCTACTCTGACCAGAAAGCTCCCATGCCGACTATATCGCTTCAGCCCACCAGGATGCATGTCTGCAAGCATGTTTCACCACTGGGGTCTGGAGTTTGAGACTAAATCCAGTTTCCCATGATAAATAACAAGTACATAAAAACCACCATGCTGGGTCAGACCACTGGTGCATCTAGCCCAGTGTCCTGGCCTCAGAGTGGCCAGTGCCAGCGCTTCAGAGGGAATGAACAGAACAGGGAAGTTTCGAGTGATCCATCCTGTCGTCCAGTCCCAGCTTCTGGCAGTTGGAGGTTTAAGGACACCTGGAGCATGTGGTTGCATCCTTGATCACCTTGGCTAATAGCCGTTGATGGACTTATCCTCCATGAGCTTATCTAGTTCTTTTTGAACCCACTCATACTTTTGGCCTTCACAACATCCCCTGACAAGGAGTTCCACAGGTTGACTGTGCGTTGCGTGAAGAAATACTCTCTTTTGTTTGTTTTAAACCTGCTGGCCTATTAATTTCACTGGGTAACCCCTGGTTCTTGTGTTACGTGCAGGAGTAAGTAACACTTCCTTATTCACTTCATACATTCATGATTTTATAGACCTCTATCATATCCCACACGTAGTCATCTCTTTTCTAAGATGAACAGTCACGGTCTTTTTTATCTCTCCTCATATGGAAGCTGTTCCATACCCACGATCATTTTTGTTGTCCTTCTCTGCACCTTTTCCAATTCCAATATATCTTTTTTGAGATGGAGTGACCGGAACTACACGCAGTATTCAAGGTGTACCAGGGATTTATATAGTGGCCCATGACTGCACGGATCCCCCTTGGATGGGTAGGAAACTGGTCCATTCAAGAAGAAAAACCTGTGTGTCGTACAAAAGTACTGGGAAAAAATACATTCCCTTTCATTCCATGTGCAGACAGTGCTTGCTCATGGAAACTCAGAACTGCTTCTTTGCACCAGTGAAAAAGGCCCTCTTTTATAGTGAGACATGAAACTGTATTAGCCATGTCCTAGTAAGAACTAAACTTTGAAAATGTTTTCAAATCTCATAGTAGCCAGGGACATTGCAAATAAATAATATATCTGTCTAGATTCAGATACATTTCTCATTCTTCAATACTCAAACTTTCTTCTCAGTGCCTTTAGATGAATGCCCCAGTAATAAAGGTAAAACACCCTTTGAAAGTCATTTGAAAATACTGAATTAAATACATCACGTTAGTAGCTAAAAGTTAATCTAGAAAACGTAAGTTAGTTTGATTTTGCATCATCTCACCTGTTCGATGCTATGAACAAGGGCTCCTGTTGCTATGTCCATTATATTTAGTTTCGTTCCACAGGGACAAAACATGTGTTTTCCATCTCGGCTGATCTAGAAAAGAAAAAAAAGTCTATGGCACCAAAAAGAGAGTTGATGTATGTTTTTATACATTAGCACCAACACATCATTGTTTACTTTCCTCCCCCAAGATTTCAGTAAAAGTATTTGGAGTTTGGCATTACCTGAACTTTCCCTCCTTTGTAGAAAGGCTCAATTTTCCTAGACACAGCATAGCTGAAAGGAGAAAAAGAAACATAAATAGAGGAACAGTTAAAATAGACTGATTTGTTTACACCATTTGCATTAAAAGCACTTTGAAGTGATTATTCATACGCAGGAACACTATATGTACACGTCTTACCAGAATTAAACCCGCTAGAAAAATTGTAGCTAAAGAAATATCAGAAAATAAAAAAGACCAACATGTGCTATGTATAGAAAGAAATGGATTATCTGAGTCATGTACCAGGAACATAAATTACAGTAAAATGCTTCTATGTAACTGCTCAAGTCTATTCCTGTAACATCTTTTCCTTCATGAATCCCTGCTTCAAGTTTGTGAAGACAAGGGAGTCCAACAACAAACTACTCTGGATTTCCCAGAACTATTTTATTGTTGTGTACAGGAACTAGTGAAAGTTGAGTTTCAAATAGAGATGCGTTATCCCACTAAAAGCGTCAGAGGCTGACATAGCAAACATGCCCCACTGAGACAGCATTGTAACTACCAGTGATTCAATGTGCATCATGTTATGTTTAGGTGATCTGGAACCAGGTGATTCAAATGGAGCAGTGTAAAACAGCAGCTTGAGCACAAAGTCTGCTCACTAGCTCCTTATCACAGCGATGATAAAAAGCACTGTTAAACACCTATAGACTGCAACAGAAGATAAGATCCTGTCAAAAGTGGGTTTGACAAATCCTACCATTCTCTACAGTACGGAATCATTCTGTATTAAATCTACCCAGCTTTTCCTTAAGGAGATGAGACCAATACACCAGAGGTAGAACCAGAGGTAGAACCCTCACTCCCAATGTGTTCTGTGGGTGTTATTAAATAACAACAACTAAGAGGCAGCATGGGGAGGGGAAAGCAACTGTTATCTGACAAACTCGATATCACGTGTATGTGACAGAATCCCAGGCTTGACCCATCTGCACAACAGCACAGAGACTGGCCACTGGCCTGGCACCCTCCCAGCCACCTTCCTGGCAGACACCCCTATGCCACAGTACCGCTTAGCGCCACAGCAACGCCAGGGCTCCCACCATGGCAACCCCAAAGTGATGGTACAAACGGGCCCCTCCACATTGGCGGCAGCACTGGCAGAGAATGCCTCCCCCACACCACCTCCAAAAGGCTTTTGGATCTCTGAGACACAAGGAGCCCCACAGGCCCTTTTTGCTCCCCGGGGAACTCAGCTTCCCCCCTCCCCAGCCCCTTGGCTCCCCGGGGATCTCAGCTCCTTTCCACAGACACCACCCCGGCCCCATGGCTCCCTGAGGATCTCAGCTCCCCCCCGGCCCCTTGGCTCCCTGGGGATCTCAGCTCCCCCCCTCCCCCAGCCCCTTGGCTCCCCGGGGATCTCAGCTCCCCCCCTCCCCAGCCCCTTGGCTCCCCGGGGATCTCAGCTCCCCCCGCGGCCCCACCGCTCACTTGGATTTGAAGCGCACGGGGGCGCTGCCGGGGCGGGTAGCCGCCATACTCCCGCTGGGCCCCTCAGCAGCCCGGAATCTCGCTTCCCCGCCCCCCCACCGGTCGCAGGGAGCCCATGTGGTTCCGGCGCTCTCAGGTTGCCAGGGGCGAAAGCATCACTTCCGGCGCTCCCACCTGACGTCACTTCCCCCGGGCGCCATATTAAGTACGGGCTGGGCGCTCGTACCCCGCCCCGCGGCCATGTTGAATGCGGGCAGATTGTCCCGGGGGCTGAGACAGGGAATGTGTGCGCTGGGGGGGGGGGGATGGGCTCCTTCACCCTGCCCTGCAGTGCAGCCACCTCTGGGGGGGAGGAAACGAGGCCACCCACAGCAGCCTAGTGCCACTAGTCGGTATTTGTGTCTGGAAACTAGAGTGACCTAAACTGGGATTGGGCCAGTACATCAGGTTTTACCCCCTACGCCAGATATTTATGCTACGCCCAAGCTCATGGGGTAGATCTACTTTTAATATCTATTTTATTTACACATGGCTGCCTTGGGTAGCCTACCAAAAAGCAAATTGTGAGCAGCTTTTGCACCTAGCCTACAGTTTCAAACAAGGGGAAGAGAGAGAAAGATGTGATGGCTGTCAATGCCAGCTATCACTTATATGTACATCCTTCATCCTGCATATGGTCTGGTATATTGGCAGAGCAGACCCTGAATTTGCCCTTCATGTTCACAACAGCCCTTCAGGGTATTAGCAAGTCAGATGGAGAAAGGCAGACATTTTCACAGTAGAGTAACTGCAAGGTGCAGCTGTATTACACCTGCAAAAAGCATTTTGTACACTTGAAACTTTTGCATGCTTAACTAGTCTCAGGACCCACCCAAAAGTTGTTACTCTTAGCCTCTAGGGGTACCCGCCTTTATGCAGTTCCTAGGGCTCAAGGCATAACCCTGTCAATTTATCAGGGGGTAGCCGTGTTAGTTTATATCTACAAAAACAAGGAGTCTGGTGGCACCTTAAAGACTAACATTTATTTGGGCATAAGCTTTTGTGGATAAAAACCTCACTGCTTCAGATGTATGTTTTTACCCATGAAGGCTTATGCCCAAATAAATCTGTTAGTCTTTAAAAGGTGCCACCAGACTCCTTGTTGTTCCTGTCAATTTAGGCACCCACCCTTACCCTTCTGTGAGCTCAGGCATAACCCTACACTCTGCAGGATCTTTTACCAGTGAAAGAAGTAAATGTAATAGTAGGATAACAGTAATATCCTACTTAACGTGTGTTTTTTGGTGATTGTTAATAAACAATACACATGCAACACAAACAATGCTCACCACTCCCAATAAGACCGATGAACTTTTCTTGATGGCCAGTCAGGATCAGGTCCATCTGGGGACTCCAGTTTCTGCATGATGGCAGAGTGTTGAGATCTGGCAGCTCTGTTCTTGGGGCTGTGTCCTGAAGTTGGTTCCTAAAGATCTTCCTTTTGGACCCCAGTTTATATAGCGAAACTGGAGTCCTGCTTAGCTATACCTTAACTAATGATTTTACTAATCAATCCTAACATACTGTAATAAAATTCTCTAACCATACCCTTACACCATCTTAAATAATTTACACCTAGCAAAATTAACTATGTAACCAAAAATAAAAATTGAAGAACCAGCAATCATACAGAAAAATAGGCAAGTGAGGACCATAAAGATAAAACAAAGAAATGAGGATTTCACAGCCACAACTATTGATAAGCGATTTCTTGCCAGACAGGATGCTATCAAACCAAGTTCTCTTTAGCCACCTTAAGATCGGTTTCTTTATCTGGTGATCGTGGGGGCTACTAGGACAGAATCTCCTTCTTAACAGCCTATTACATTGTTTTAATGTAATTTAGATGGCAAGTGAGGATTTGACTTCCTGCTTCTTAGATAGCGGCTGCTGCTCTCTTAAGACGGGTGCAGACAAAGGCCTTATCCTGACACACATGGGCATAGGTAGAACCCCTTTGACAATAAGCATCTCAATGACAAATTAGTGCAAGCTTGTTCATTCTGTACTGTGTTCGGGTTATGCCTCATTATGAGATTAATAAACTTGTACAATTGGGTATCTGAACATATGATTGCTCTATAAGTGCACAGATTAAGTGTCAAACGCAATTATGACTAGTGATCATTTACTTCCTAACGGTAAAGCATTTGATAAACCAATTACGAAGATCCTCTAGCCAGGTTTAACCCCATTTGGAAAAAAAGCAGAGACAAGTGGCTACTCTTAAGGCTGCTTTGAAAGGTGACAATTTGGGGAAGGAACAGCCTGAGGCAGATAGATTTGCTCTTACAGACACTGCAAATAGCAAGTTGTTTACTGGAATAATGAATGAAACCAAAAAACTGTCAGTAAGCAAATATTTTATTACACACTGAAATTTATACTGTCCCCTAGAAGCAGCATTTTTACAACTGAAAGACATTCTAATAAGTTTGACATATTGTACGCACAGACAGTAACCAGGCCACTACTTTCTCTAAGCATCCTATTTAAGTGGTTTTGCTCACTAGAGGGCAGCATTTCCCCTACCACACATTCTACTGAGTAGAGGGTCAGACTAACACGCTACCTCTTTGATACTACTGAGTAGTACATTTGGAAATAAAGGCCTTTAAATTGCTGCCTCAAATTAAATTATCATAACTTATTATAGCAGGGCACAACATCCTCTTATTCTGTAGACCAACGGTTTTCAAACTTTTTGCATTGGTGACCCCTTTCACACAGCAAGCCTCTGTGACCCCCCGATAAATTAAAAATGGGGGGAGGAAATTTAATTTAATGAGGGCTCATGACCTCCATGTAATCACCTTGCAACCCCGAGGGGTCACAAGAACCCCTGCGTAGACATTCTGCCCTGCCTGAAAGCATTAAATCCATTACCTTTCTACAGCAGTTACAACAGAGCCCCAGTCTCACTATAGGCCTCTAGGCACTGCTGGAATACAAATAGAATAGCCCTATTCCAACGCAGTACCAAAAGAGCATCTTATACCTTTGGGCTTTGTACTACACCACCATAATACGCTCCTGTCAGCATTACTCACTACAATTTGACTACTCATGCAAACAATCATACTAATTACTGGTCAACTTCTTTTGCTGAATAAGGGCTGGAGACTCAGATGTTTTCAGCATTAAAGACTATTAGTGTTTAAGTGAGATGGTCTTCGAAGTGTCCCATTTATAAGCAGAACAATCTGCATTTAGTATATTCATCTAGAAAGGGGTACAAATGTGGAATGTTGCTGAGATGCTCCACGTACTCTCGATTGTTCATGTGTGATCCATGGCTCTTCGGACTCCCAGTGTGTGCTGGAAGAAAAACCAAACATTTCTGTTTAGAAATACCAGTTATACCAGACTTAAAACAATAACACCCCAGTATGTCCCTCTCCTCCCAGACAGTACTGACATAGTGTTATTATCAGCCACCTCCCATTGGCCTGAATTATAGGAACATGGGTTTTATTCCCCACACATTGGGTCCGTGGGCAATAAGCTTAATGCTCCTGTTGCTGTAGGCACGGTGATCTCCCCAGAGGCCATTGCAGAAGCCAGAGGTGATTTTCAAACAGTGCCAGAGAACACCCTGTGCCCTACCACAGCCTGATGGCAGTTTGGTGCTAATGGGGAAAGGGCCCTGGAGAGACAAGTAGCCTCTCAGGCCTCAGCCAGAATGCGAGACTCCAAGAGACACTGGATTCCATGCAGAGCCCGGGAAGAAGTGTGGGATCCCCTGCAAGGGCAGGTCCCTAGCAGCCTATGCACGCTGGGGGCCCCCCAGTCCATAAGGCACCAGTAGAACTACACCTCCCAGCATGCCCTGTGGAAGCCAGCCCACAGCCAGAGAGGAAGGATGGAGCAGAGCACGCTGGGAGGTGTAGTCCTGGACATATGCCCGCCACATGCACTATCAGGACCCCGCCCCCAACCCCTCCCGATAATGCCCAGTCACCCAACACAGCACAGCGCCTGGGGTGACAGCGGAGCTAACCTGCCCTTCTGCAGTCTGCTGCCAGGCTCCACACCATCCCTTGGTCTTATCGGCTACCGAGATCTGCTCCCTTGAGCTCGCCTGTAGGAGAGTGTTGCCAAGTCTCACAAGGGGGGGTGGGGGGTGGGAGAAAGAGTGGGGAAAAAAAAAGGGGGGGCACTGCCTTTCGAAACAAGCCCAACCCCTTTCAAAACAAGTTCAGCTCCTTTCAGAGGGAGGGCAGTGGGGGTGTTTATACAAACTCCACCATTTTTTCAGTCGTTCAGTTTTGCTGCATACAACATTATTATTTTAATGTGTCACAATTGGTGTGTACGTACATTAAGAAATGTCATCCTTACTCTCTCCATCCTCCACGGTCTCTGTTGCCTCAATGTTCAACGTGGGAATGTACTACCATATCCTAGTGTGGGACAAAATCCTGATAACAAAATCCCCAGTCTTCTTAACCTAGAGCGGAGGTGCAGTATACGGCGCAGAGTCATCCATCCTGTTCCAGTGCTTGGACTTCTCTTGGGTGAACAATGAGAACACTTGTTCCACATCAGCATTACTCAGTAGGGAAAGTGCAAACAGGGCTAGCTCTTTAAAGCACTGTTCACCGCTACTGTCTTGAAAAGTGTATACTTCCACCCAGAACTGCTCCGCATTGTCATCATCTGTGCTCTTCCATTGCTGGAAGTTGATGGCTTGATACTGTGCATCCAAGGCCCCCAAGTCATCTTTGAAAATTTTCAGCATGGAGATGTCATTAGTTGAGGTTTTCCCTGAAAGAGAATAACTGATGGACTGAACACGGACATAGATTCCCACAGATTAATATTTTCTGGAAGTCTCAACTGTACTTGTTTAGCTTCAAGAGCATTGTCAAGCTTTGCATCTCCTAAAGCAACAGTAAACAGTTCTCCAAAATTAACAGCACACAGTGCCAAGTGGCTGGCTACTCAAATTGAAGTCCAGGAGTTTGCGATCAGATAAAGGGATACTTTCTAGAAACAACACTCTTAATATAAAGTATCAAAGGGGGTAGCCCTGTTAGTCTGGATCTGTAAAAAGCAGAAAAGAGTCCTGCGGCTCATGCTCCTATACATCTGTTAGTCTATAAGGTGCCACAGGACTCTT